GGGAAGCAAATATAACAGTTTCACACGCACATATAACAGACATCATAACGTATTATCAGTGGTTTTGTGACAATTTACAGCATAAAGGGTAATAAAACCATAACGCTTTATCTGTGTTTTATTTCTGTAAATCCCTGCGAAAGCATTTACATAAGGCACCAAATAAATACATTCTGGTAATTAACAGTACCTATCTAATATTCTTTCATTGATTAAAGTAGATTATGACAAATCCTCGAGAGTGACATTTGGTTTACTAAAGCTTCCTGTATCAAGGATTGTCTTGTTTTGTCATAAAATATTGTTTTTCAACTTTTTCTATTCTGCATGTTGAAATCCTTGCCCAGTCTAGCTGTTGAAATAGACTTTTAAGGGAGCCATAATTCTTATAGTGCTCTTTGAAAAACACCAGTATGGTACAACCCCCCCCCCCCTTGGAAAACATCAGTATGGTACAACCCCCCCCTCCCCTCCCCTTGGAAAACAGTACATTTTCACCACTTTCCTACTTAAACCAATATCAAGAAAAGTGGTACTATGTATGGAATTTCTAAATTGCTAAAAAACTGCCCCTGCAACCGTGACAGGGAGCCAGTGCAGCTCCCTGTACACCTGGATGGGGGGGTGTCATACAGAGGAACCAATCCCCCATTTTCCTCATGTAGGCTTTCACCCACCCGCGGCCCCTCCTATCTGCCTCCTGCTGTGATTGGGCTCCTGTGTATTCACTGATCCCCTCATCCTCTGCGCTTCTGGCTTTCACCCCCCCCATCCCACTGGCTGCTCCGATTCTGTTCATTCATCATAACTGATGAATGAACATCAGTTATAACATCAGTCATAACTGAGGCATAGTAAACTGTGTTTACTATGCTTTGGTTTATGAATGAATGGGAAGCTCTGTACATAGATATTCCTGTCTATTCATTCTGTACAGCTGAGGCTGCAGAGGTGGAGATTGAGGGCTGTGTCCTCAATCTCTTTTCTCTGTTTCAAAAGGTGAAACAGAGGTCTGTTTAGACACCTATTTCACCAAAGCCCCCCAATGGGGTTCCAAAAATATTGTTTAAAAAAAATAACCATGTGGAGGTCCCGGCTGGAGGTCCTTTATGGTTTCTTGCACCAAGGCTCTGAAGGTTTTAGTTACGCCTCTAAGTGAGCTAGATATTCCACTCAAGCACCAAATCTCCAGACTACCACCAGCAACAGGAGGCGGTTCCAATAGTCATTGGTTACTATCATAGTTTATGTAATTTCAAAAAAAGACAGGGGAACCATCCATCTGATATAGTGACCCCCAATGCATTTTACACAGTTAGGGGCTTAATCATTGGATGGTACCCTATAGGGAAGCTCCTAATCAAATAATAAACGCATTTTGGGTTTGGGGGGGGGGGGTCTCTATCTTGGATGGATGTCTGTGTAATGGAGGATTTAATAAACTGTTCTGAGGCTTTAATATGCTGAGCATTTCCCCTGTCCTTTTTTGGACTTACCCAAACATCCCTGAGTTGCTCTGGCAATTCATTGTCTTGGCTTGGGAATTTGGATACCTAGGCATCTGATTCTTCCCAGGTGACATCACTATATAGGCATAGCAGAGGAGGCAGTCTACGGGAAGATGCTAACTCAAACCCACCAAGACAGAAACATGGATGTTTAACAGAGGGGGACACAATAAATGTTAATACCACAATGACAACAGAAAGTGTATCCATAGTCAAAGTTCTTTTCTTCCTACTGGGTAAGTGGTAAACGTCAAACCTCTGCTTAACTGGAGACCAGTGTCACCAACACAGAAAGTGATGGGAATTGGGAAATCCAAGATTTCATGGTTGTCAACAGAACAGAAGAGGGGGAATCTTCTGTTGGGGACGTTTCCATCTCCTCACTTTGGAAAGATTTTTTTTTTCTCTTGCCAATGTGTCTCCAGGACAGAAAGTGAAGAGAAAGCCTATGTCATGCAGACATCAAAAGAAACAGCTGATGAGTTTTAACTATTCTGTACTGTTACTACAAAATATAGTTTTAGCTAGGGGTTCACTTGAAGGTAAATGAAAACAGGTTATTCCTCATACTTCAACTAATGAGGAACAATCATTATTTAGATTATCTATCTATCTATCTATCTATCTATCTATCTATCTATCTATCTATATCTCTCTCTATCTATCTCTCTATATATCCAATTTTATAATTAACCCTTGTAAATTAAAATATTATTTTTAATCATTTACAACAAGAATATATTTTGTGTGGTGGTTAATAACCAATGAGGAGGAAATAAGTATTTTTAATTCCATCTCAGAGTGGAAAGCAAAATTATTACTGCACAGTGACTCCCTTGACTGTGTCTGTTACCAAGCAGAGAGGGTATGGTTTTGTATGTGGAGGACTTACTAAAACTCTGTTTACTGGATTTGTGATAGAGAAGTTTCTGTAGCTCCTACTGAACATTGAGATAATATCAGTCAGATTACACATTCCCCCCTATTATGTCTCCTGCTATTGTCCATTCTACAGTAAGTATTTTACAATTCATAGGTTAAATCAAACATAGAAAAAGAAAGATAATGTATCTAAATACACATTGATTAAAGACCATCTATACTGCAATTCTTCATTGTGTTTGCGCATTAACTTCTAGATAACATTTTAACTGACTACCTAATGATGGATGTTTCAAGCATGTCCTCTGGAAGTCATAAAAAGAAATTTACACCATCAAGGAAATTCAGGATGATTGTTGCAGTAAATCTTTGCCTGTGCAGATAAGGAGGGAGAGCTGTACAAATATGGGACAAATACAGGAAGGTGCTTTGTCTTAGCTTCACTCATCTCTACCGATCGACATGAATTCATTTATGCTGCCATCCAGTGTTGGTGGTCTGCTTCTTCTCAGGTAAGAACTTCTGTATACAATGAACCACCTGAGAGCGACGAATATGTAATATTTTGTAAAAGGAACAGGAATCATCGTAGAAAGATGCCACACACTCCATTCAAAGTGTATGTAAAGACTATTTTTGAGCATTGCAGAGGAGAAAGGCAGGTTCTGATTGCAATCCGTGTCCCTGTTAGAGAGTTTAACTTTCCATTTGTCCTGAAGTCCATTGTCATTGAGATTTATTGCCAGAACTTAATTGAACAAGCTGAAGTTAGAAGCTGATTAGCTACCATTCACAGCTTCACCAAATTCTGAGTGCATACATTTTTAGTAAATCTCCCCTAAAGTGTCAGTTATGCCATTCTCTGCCCAAACAGGAGCTTGCTATCGAATATACATTCAACAGACATATACAGATGCACACTAGCTAGGGCACTTTGAATCAGTCATACAACCTTATATATATATATATATATATATATATATATATATATATATATATACACACACACGCGTAAAATTGGGGTGTTTCAGAACAAGCAAGATATCTATCATACTGTTTGCATATATACTGCACAGATAAACTTATTTAAATATAATATATTCTACTTTATATTAAATTGTTTAAATGTGTTGTGTGCAGTCTAATCACTCTAGAGCTGTGTTTTTCATGTGGGGTGCCGTGGCACCCTGGGATGTTGTGAAAAGTGCTCAAGGGCACCATGGCAACAGTCTGATTTAGGCATGATCCTGTATTAGCTCCCATGCACAGAGAGGATAGAGAGAGGGCACAACCTGCACCTCCTCCTGGCTCTCTCCTCCTCCCTGTTGCTATCTTTACTATTGTCAGCAAAACTGAAAGCCATTGCTCCTGCACATAGTGGATTTTCGTAGATGATCACTGCTGCGCTGCAGAGACCAGGGGTGTCTGCTTACAGGAGCAGTCAGCAACCTTTTACACATTTAGATATAACTAAATGCATTTTTTGGTTGTTGTTGCTTTGGATAGAATGGAAAGGGTTTAGAACACCTATCAGCTTTTATTGCTGTCTGTTTCCCCATTAGGGAGATTCACCTTCTCGATTTGTCCTGGGAATCTTTATTCCCAAGAATGAAAGTGAAAAATACCTGCAAGTTTTGAGTTATCACTGGGATAGGAATAGAAGGCAAAATTTCCAATGGGGGAAGTAGATGAACAATAGCATTCCGTATCCATATAGTTTATTTAAAATTTTTGCATTCATAGTTGTTCTGCTAATGGAAATACACAAAACATTTATAAAAACAATTAATGTGTACTGATCAAACTGGATTTCCAGTTTCAGCAATCGCTGTCCCCATCTTTCACGGCTTAGTTGTGCTATGTCTGACCTAGGATGTTAATTTCAGCTGTAAACACACTTCTGAATAATCTGTTGTAAAGAAAATTGGTTTGTATATATATATATATTTTAGTGGTGCACTGAAAATTCAGGATGCACTTGGCTGAAAACCGACATGGACAGTTTTTAAAAATTAATATATTTTTCCAATGCAAATTGTTTTGGAAAAAAAACACCATGTATACCACAATTTCTTTGTAAAATATGAAAGATGATGTTATTCCGAGTAAATAGATGCCCAACAAATCTCCATGGGTGACGCTTTAAAAATTTCCACAGGTTACCAGTTTAAAGTTACAGAGGAGGTCTAGTGCTAGAATTATTGTTCTTGCTCTGATGTTCATGGCGATACCTCACAAGTGTGGTTTGAACACCTTTACATATGTGGGAGTGGCCTACATATGTGTTCACCACTGCATGTGCGCACGAAGGATGGGGTCACTTTAATCTTTTTTTTTTTACATTTATTTAATTTATTTTTTTACACTGTCCCTTTAATTCTTTTTTTTTTCCTATCACAAGGAATGCATGCATCCCTTAAGATAGAAATAAGCAGCGACAGGTTCTCTTTATAGAGAGATATAGGGTCAATAAGACCCCACATCTCTCCTCTACAATGTAAAGCATTAGATCAAAAAAAGCATTGATCTAGTGCTTTAAAAAAAAAAAAAGGAACCAGAAGTGACATCATAACGTCGCTCCGGTCCTCCAAGGGCATAGAGATGAGTATATGCTTTATGACCCTGCAGGGTTGTGAATCTTGGGGTGAGAGGCCATTTCAGCTATTGTTGTCGGGTCGCACTGAGGGTGGGTTGCATCCACTTTTATGCATGGAAAGGAATAACACCGCACCCGTATATGGACACTTTGTGACACCTTGTGATATAGTGTTGTGATTCACTGTGTGACCATCTGCATCTTGATCCCACATTAGGGACTCACTGCTGTGTGTGCCTTTATTGTAGTGTCCCATTAGGGCACTTGGGGTCACTGTCTGTATCATCCCCATGTGCATTGGGGTCACTATTGTTTGTGTTAGTCACGTGTCTGATCCTATTTTAGATTTATCATCTATATTTGTTTTATGTTAATTATATTTTGTAATACTCATTTGTGTCTATTAGCGCTGCATCATATTTTCTTCTTCTGCTCATGACCTATATGGTAGTGGTTTGGATGCTAGCAGCTTTAGTGTGAATTAATTACACCCTATTTTTTTATTTTACATACGAGCGCAGGAGGATCTCTGTTCTATTTATGTTGAAAAGTAAATGCAGTTTTCACTCCTTGAAATGTTTTCTTTTATTATAGAAATTCAAAAGACCTGGTTTGACTTGAACACCCCTCTTACATTTGCACTATACGGAGTATCCCATTTCACAGATACCATGTGTTTGAGGCCAACTCCACTCTATCTTAAAAAAAAAAAAAGGGTTATAGTTAGACATGAATTCAGGGGCAAACTTAGGAGTCCTAAAAGAGCATTTTGACAAATGCTAGGTATGTAGAAGTCCCTTTCATTGCTGTTAAAGGCTGCTAAGAAGGCCTGGACCTAACAGGTTCACACCTTATTCTTCTTTTGTTTGTCTGTTTACATGACACTCTTAAACAACAGGGTCATCCAAAAATCATGATTCTTATATATCCAAAAGAATACATTAATATACCAGATTGCATAATTCCTCCTGCAGGTCTGGCCTTTACAGCACCAAGTGTGAAGAAACCACGAGTGGTAAGTTAAAGGACTGAAAAATGTTGATACTATAAAAAAGATATAAATGTGTTTACTAATAGACCAGTTTTTTTCCAATTCAATACCTGATATAGTCCTCAGTGAGCAGTTCAAGATTACCCGAGGCCATGGCATTACTTAATAATAATAATTGTTTAATACTTCCAAGCTCCTATTTAAGACTATTATTTTCAGTAGTGATCATGCAATAAATAAATACTAATATTGGGCCAAAAATGTGGTATTTTTCTTATCTGAATGCTTTATATATAACCATGTTGGTAAAAAAACAAAAAAGAGGATTTTAATAGCACAGCATGTAGTGCACCATGCCAAAACGGGGAAAATATATGCATGCTAATTAAAATAAAACTGAAGCTTTTAAAAGATTGCACTTGGTTCCCAGTGGCAAAACATAACAATTAAAGCACATACTTTGAGAGTGACAGGTCTACAGACAACCAAAATATAGAAATATAATCCTCTAATCAGGGGTGTTTCACAACGAGTGGGCAAAAAATAGCTATCCTGACAATACTTGGGCAACAAACAGGCAATTGTACACAATACACAGACAGAAATCAATGAACTGCTACAATATGCAGACAGTCAATAGGCAGCAAATAACCAATACACATCAGAAAACAGCAATTTGGGACAATATGCAGATAAATGCACAAACATGCAATATGTGAGCAACAAATGGCAAATTGTGACTATGACCATAATTAACAGGAAATTGTGACAATTGGCTAATAACAAACTGGCAATTGTGACAATATCCAAGCAATCATAACAATATGCAACTGAGCAATCGCGACAGAATGTGGACAACAAACAGTCACCCCCAACACTAATGTCCACAGAAAAACAACACAACCACCTAACCACTTCTGCATAAAACCCCTCACTAGCTAAAATCCTCCTCCTCCTCCTGCAAAACCGCCCACAGGAAAAATCCCCTCCCCAGCAATACCCACCACAGCAAAAATCTCCCTCCCAGCAATACCCATCACCAGCAAAAAAACCCCCTCCCCAGCAAAACCGCCCACAGGAAAAATCCCCCTCCCCAGCAATACCCACTACCAGTAAAAATCTCCCTCCCAGCAATACCCACTACCAGCAAAAATCTCCCTCCCAGCAATACCCACCACCAGCAAAAATCCCACCTCCCCAGCAATACCCACCACCAGCAAAAATCCCACCTCCCCAGCAATACCCACCACCAGCAAAAATCCCACCTCTCCAGCAATACCCACCAATAGCAAAAATCCCACCTCCCCAGCAATACCCACCACCAGCAAAAATCTCCCTCCCAGCAATACACACCACCAGCAAAAATCTCCCTCCCAGCAATACACACCACCAGCAAAAATCTCCCTCCCAGCAATACCCACCACCAGCAAAAATCTCCCTCCCAGCAATACACACCACCAGCAAAAATCCCACCTCCCCAGCAATACCCACCACCAGCAAAAATCCCACCTCCCCAGCAATACCCACCACCAGCAAAGATCCCACCTCCCCAGCAATACCCACCACCAGCAAAAATCCCACCTCCCCAGCAATACCCACCACCAGCAAAAATCCCACCTCCCCAGCAATACCCACCACCAGCAAAAATCCCACCTCCCCAGCAATACCCACCACCAGCAAAAATCCCACCTCCCCAGCAATACCCACCACCAGCAAAAATCCCACCTCCCCAGCAATACCCACCACCAGCAAAAATCCCACCTCCCCAGCAATACCCACCACTAGCAAAAATCTCACCTCCCCAGCAATACCCACCACCAGCAAAAATCCCACCTCCCCAGCAATACCCACCACCAGCAAAAATCCCACCTCCCCAGCAATACCCACCACCAGCAAAAATCCCACCTCCCCAACAATACCCACCACTAGCAAAAATCTCACCTCCCCAGCAATACCCACCACCAGCAAAAATCCCACCTCCCCAGCAATACCCACCACCAGCAAAAATCCCACCTCCCCAGCAATACCCACCACTAGCAAAAATCCCACCTCCCCAGCAATACCCACCACCAGCAAAAATCCCACCTCCCCAGCAATACCCACCACTAGCAAACATCTCACCTCCCCAGAAATACCCACCACCAGCAAAAATCCCACCTCCCCTAGCAAAAGCCCCACTAGCCAACCCTCCTCCCCCAACACACCCCCTTAGTAGCAAACCTCCCACCCTTTCCCCAACAGTAACAGACCCCTTCTTCCATTACAACTCTTACTGGTCCTTAGATGCACTGGAGAATGAAGAAAGTCTTCCTAATATTCCCCTAGGTGGTGTTATGTGACATATCAGAGCGGAAAAGGAGCTGTGGGGAGCTTTGTCTTTCCTAGGGTCTGACAGAGCTGCCATGGGTGGCCTTGAAGAACTGTGCTCCAACAATGGGGTATCAGAGAACCCTCAACGTGACTGCACCAGAGTTGGACTGTTCACCTCCCTAGGTGGTAATCATGAGCACTTCCACTTGTCTTAGATAAAAAAAAAAAAAAATACAGTTTTTTTTTTCCAAGTTTGAGAAATTATTTAAATCAGCTTGTAAGGCTCCTCTTTATCTCAAAGCAGCTGTGTGGCATGCTGGAGGTACAAGTTACAGCTGGCTTCACACTTCTGAAGTTACAGAATGCACAATAACATGCATTGCATTAAGGGAGCCCATTCCCAATTATTAACAAATATCAGCCACGCAGGAAATGCATTTTTCAGTGACTCAGTTGATAGCACTGCAAAACTGGAACCAAAATGAGAATGAGAAAACATGTCGGCCCTTTATCCAGTATGAATACAAACTAAGAAAAAACAACTTTTAAAAGATTAAATATTGATTATTTATTAAACTGATCTAGAAGACTATACATTGATTTTAACTGTTTGCAGACAACTTGCATTGTTGGTGAAATAGTTAACATTGGTACAGCCTTTGTGTTCTAGGTATGCCGATCCATGTGAGTATGATGATAAGCCCATTTGTGGGACAGACGGCTACACCTATAGCAGTGAGTGTGTGCTCTGCATGGAAAACAGGTTAGTGAGAATGGTAGGACACTTGTGATCATGGAAGCCCAGATTTACTTGTGAAAGAGGGCCTAAGGGAGATTAATGAAGGCCATAGACGGGTCGTTTATCGGTCGATTTTTCGTCCGAAAGAATAATCGGTCGATTTTCGCACTGTTAGTGGGGCAATGGCATCGGCCCATTTTCGCGGTTCCTCCTTATTTCTTTTATCGGTCATGCTGGAACATTTGTGAAAAACTGACGATTTTCGCAATCATTGGTGGCAAAAGAACGAGCGATGTTTCGTTTTTCGGATGAAAAATCGACCGATGAACCGTCTATGGCCTGCATAAGGGTAGGGGATGCTAATCAGACTTTGCCAAATATTGCCAAACCATTCAATAACCACAACATTCGGCTAGGAGGTCTAAGCAAATACTTTCAGTTTTCAGCGTCAAAGCTGCTTATAATATAAACTATTAAGATTGTATGGCAGTGTTGGATGGTCAATTTATCAACAGCCACTTCAATGGACTCCTAAGAGAACAAGTTCATGACTATGTTGAAGCTGATGTGGGATTCAAAATGGGCGTAGTATAAAGTGTTACTGTGTTGAAGCCTTGCACCACTGGCAAACGTTTGTTGTTTTTTGTACCTCATTTTTGGTAGTAGGGTTTTTTTTACAATTTAGTTTTTGTTTTCTTTTATGTTTTATATGGTGCAAGACGTGTATAATACTTGTATAATTTGTTCACTGTTTAACGAGCCAGTTATAGACCTGGGTAGGTGACCAGTTTTTTGTTTTTTTGTACAAGACGTGTATAATACCTATACTGAACCTTTTTGATTCTGCAGGACAGTGCCCCTGCGTGGGCAAAATGTGCCTTTCTGCCCAACTTTAAGTGTCTTGTGCACTACTTACTGTAAAATATTTAAACAGATTTACAAAAAAAAAACAAAACAAAACTGGGAGGGCTGCTAATATGCGGATTAACTGATCTTTTGAACACACCAAACCAGAATAAATTTGTAGTCTAACCCCACCCAGATTTATAGGAAACTTGTCCTGTAAGAAATGCATGTTACTGATCATTTTCTGAAAAACCTAGTTGTCTGGCTGTCATTTGCTTTTACAACTTTTGAGTCGTTACCAGATCAAGTGTGCAGTCAGTAAAATCAGAGTGATGTCAGAACTGCATAATCAAAGCCGTTGGAACAGAATGCCAGGCAAAAATTTGGTAACAAATGTTTAAGCTCCCCATACACTGTACAAATTGTGGCTTGTTCCTGATGAACCAGCCGCAGTTTGCTTAGTGGATGTCCCCGTTTGCCCACTCCTCGTCCAAAATCCTTGTATTTAAAACCATAGGAGCCTGGGTGGAAAATTGTTGGCCAAAGAGCAGCTGAACCCAATTAGGTCAAAATACAACAGCTGCAGAGGGAGATTTATCCATCAGTGCTGTATAGTGTGGATGGGGGGATCTTTTACATTTTTTGTTTGTTCAGCCTGCAAAAACAGTGTGTGCCCAGATTTACTTAACTACCATGCTTAATTTAATCATGTGGAGATCATCTCCATCATGCGACATTGTTCAGGCCTAGTGACTGACTGCTAGTGTGAAGAACTACATCATGCTCCCCCATACCCAGAGGGGCTGAGCATTTGGCAATGGAAGAGTGGTGTGGGAATGTGGGAATGAGGGAAAGGTGAATTACTTTACGGTGACTGGGGCCTATGTTTATATATTTCCATTAATGGCTTAAGAAAATGGAGAGCCCAGCAATCTTGGCCTACTGACATTCTATTCCACCGGTCCAATGGACAGCTTCTTAACTGTCCATTAATATGCTTGATGGAACAAATAATGGTATTTTCCAGTATTCACTCACCTGTAGACACAACGGCCAGTGATTCTGGTTGGCTTTAGATTGATCACCAGAAGATTTTTATGTATTAAAACCCATAAACATGTGCACTCAAAATCTTGCCTGTTTATGAAAGGAGAAGTGGAGGTAAAAGTAGGAAAACACCCCTCAAACAAACAGTCCAATCAGGCTCATCAATTTTCCCACCAAGCCAGGGAGGTATATGAAATTGTAGTGAGCCTATCTATATAACAGTTTAAAGTGGTAGTAAACTCTGGCATTAAAAAAAAGAAAAAAAAAAGAAAGAAAAAAAAAAAATACCCTGCAAAGCAATGGCATAATGTGATAATATGCATCACATACTAGCACATTATGAAATAATTACCTAAAAGGATAAGTTCATTTTTGACTATTTTTTGTTGCAGGAGCCTGTAAAACACTGCATCAGCAATCAGCAGTTTCCTTATGCCATGCAGATCTCCTGCAGACCTGTCAGTATATCTGTGTGCTCGTATATATCCAGTACGGTCAAGCAGATACATTGGCAGGAAGAATCAAACTACTGGCGTTCCACAGAGCCATGGTAGTTTGTTGAGAACTACAAGCTGACATCCGCAAAAGATGTCGGTACTTGTAGTTCAATCATTCACAGAACTCTGTGAATGAATAACACAGCTGTGAGGGCGGAGCCCCGCACGGCCACGCTGTTTTTAAAAATGACAGCAAGTATGGGGAACCCCTTCCTGTACTGAGGGGGGGAATAGGGCAGCTGCAGCATTGACACATGTTCCACCCTAAAAATGGGTGGAACATGTATCATGTTCCCAAAGGTGAACTTATCCTTTAAAATGAAGGCCACCAGTGGTGTGCTTTCACAGCTGACAGGGCTTCCATCTACACATGGTTTTTCTTCTGGTTTTGCGGGCTCCAGCACTTTGAATGGCTAAACCACAATGACAGAACTTCCATGTATGTGCATGGTAGTCACGACACAGAGCTCTGAAGGGACAGCATGAATATGAGCCGGTGACAGTGAAAATCTACTAAACGGGGCACGTTTAGGAGATATTTACTATACCTATGGGTAAGCCCTATTATAGGCTTACCTGTAGGTACAACTAAAAAATAGGAGTTTACTACCACTTTAAAATCCAACTGTAAAAAGCCTGAATGGTCTATGATCATCATCATCTACCTAAATGCTCAGTACATTATGCTTTAGCAGACTCGTCTAGAAAACAAAATGTGCCCCTCCTATAACTCCAAAAACTTAATTTTCTACTGAATGTATCCAAACCCCAACGAAAGGACATGAAGTCATTAGAATATTTTTTTTCTTTCAAACTTGTACTCTTTTGTCATAAAGCCGTTATTAATTCTCATATATATTTTCCAGGGAGCGGACTGTGCAGTCCCTAATACAACATGATGGCCCTTGCCCTCTCCTCCCTCCACATGAAATGAAGATGAAGAAACCCAACGTACACTAAAACTACAATTTCAGATGTTAGCTTCAGACCGCAGTGATGACTATCAAATTAATCTGGGAACATCTCTTCTGTTGATTTAAACTGTTAGGCATTAATACTTTTAAATTTTAGAATACCTCCAGCCATTTTTTTTAACACAGATAGAATAAGTAGGAGTTAAAGTTTCTGTCAAGTTTTATTTTTGTGTGTCACCTAATTGGAAAGGTTTATTTCTCTTCCTGTGCCTGTGACACCAGGACAAATGGTCATCAGGACAGGCAGGCGTTGGCAGCAATGTCACAGCAAGAAAAGATTAAGGCAGAATAGGACCCTAGGCAAAGGATCACCTTTGCCCCCCCACCCACCGAATCTCTACAATTGACTTCAATAGGCTGCAAAAAATGTTTTGGCTGCAATTCTACCTTAATACTTTAATTTTCTAAATAAAGAAACATGACCTTTAACAATATTAATATTGTCTGTTTTTCTGTTTCAATGATTCTAACATCTTGTCTGGATACCCCTTGAGAATTAAAACTCTACTACACTTAAAAGGTCTCAGTCTCTGGAAAGTCCTGTATTTTGCAAAGTGCTATGTTGCCACAGGACTGTATGGTCATAACACCAGGAATATTCTATCATTTAAAGTGGTTCTAAAGCCTGTACATTTTTTTACCTTTCACCCAAAAGGGGAAGTTCTGCTTTAAGCCTTTGTCCCCTGCTCTCCTTTAAGGATTGGCACCTTTGGGGAGTGGGGGGGAGAGGGTACCCGAATTTGACAGGTACCCGTTCCCACTTCCGCTGCGATCGCCTAGGTGATCAGAAGCGAAAGCTGTCCTCTTCCTGTAGTATTCTGGGACACGTGACAGGTCCCAGAAGACTACAAAGCCATTCACAAAGCGCAGCACTTCTCGCGCATGCGCAGAGGGAACCAGGCTGTGAAGCTGCAAGCTGTCACAGCCGGGTGTCCACACTGAAGATGCCGGCGCCAGGGAGAGCAGACGGCTGGTGAGGACACCGCTGGACTGAGGGACAGGTAAGTTTCTGTATTTTAAAGCTCAGCAGCTACAGTTTTTGTATCTGCTGACTTTTTTTTTTTTTTCAGGTAGAACTCCGCTTTAATGCATTCCATTCATTAAGGTAAAAAAATTTCCACCGTTTGTATCACCCCTCACCCACCTGTATATTTACCTGAATCCTAGTTCAATCCAATGCTGTGCCCGTCTGCAGCAGCTCTCTCCTCTCTCTCTTTGCTCACAGAGGCAGCAACAAGAACTACTGGTTCCTGCTGCTGTAAATCAATTCCTGTGAACAGAGGGCAGTGGTGGAGCTGAGCTGCACTGTGTGTGTCAATAGACACACACAGCCCGACTTAGGATCAAGCTCACGGGTTTGCCCCCATACAAAGTGGCATATCATGGGTGCAGCGGGGGGACTCAAGAAGAGGAGTTTCAGGGCTGCTCTATGTCAAACCATTGCTGTCATTGAGCAACAGATGATCTGATTGCTGATCCCCACTGAGCAGGCAGATGGCTGGTCTGTGTCCACTCGATCCCCCTCCATCCGTTTCTAGTGAATCGGATCAGATTGGATGTAGGTGGGTGTAAACGGACACATATCCATTTACACTTACCACTGCATAGAGGACAATGGAGGGTCCGATCAGTCCACTCGTGTTCACAATGGTGGCATCAGGTGCCGAGCCTAAAAGTATTATCGTTCTGATATCAATCTGCCCAGTGATAATCCACTAGAGCAATTTAAGGCACCATACGGCAGTGAATCCGCCCCAACGGTAGCCTGCAAGGGGGTTACTGAAGCCAGTGTTGGACTATTGGGTATCTGCTGCATTGGTAGAGGAACACCTGAGGCCCTCTCACTGAACTGCAAGGCCTCGTTCACACCATACGTGCAGAAAAACTGATGGAAACTGACGCACACATTTCACTTGCAGAAACATCAGTTTTAATGCGTGTTGCAGTTTCCTGCATAGAAAAAGTCTGCATGTGATACTAGTTTTGTGGTGTGAACAGGACATATAGAGAACAATTGACTTTGTTGTGCCCTTGCAGAACACAAGTAAAAACTGCCATCTCTGCACTGTGGTGTGGTGAAAAGTTATAAATGGTACAAAAGAAACTATGGGACTTTTAATGTGCCAGTATGGAGCATTACAACATCATAAACTAGTGTAAGAACACATTGATTTTATTGTTATATGTTTCACAACATATAGTCATTAACCCCTCCACGCCTAAGGGTAAAACAAATCTTAACACCTAAGCACAATTTTACAACGTTGACATGTGTTAGTAAAACCGTACATATCATCACAACTACTTTGTACATCCAGGTGGAGTATCAAACTGGATAACCGTGTGTGCTCTCCAGCGCTCCAGGAAATAAAATGCCAAAGGGAGACCAAGGGAACCAGGGCAGGAGTGGCCTAAAGATAATGCTTCAGGGATGCAGCCCTCCTCAGATGGGGGAATATCCAGGGGGATTATACCTTGGCTTTTTTCAGGACAAATTGGGCTTTCATTTGGTGGTAAATGGTAATGGAAATCTCCAGATTTTTTTTTTTTTTAGCAAAGGAATACAGGCCCAAAAAAAGTAAAAAAAACCCATATATTTTATTTTTTAATTTAGCTGTGTGTTTCTTGTTACTGCCATAACTTACCACCAAAGACCAACCCAAAATAAATTTTTCCAGCTCTTGACGATCGCAGCGATACCATATATGTGTATGTTATTTGTACCCACAGTACAGCCCAGAAACAATAGTGCGCATTTTGGTTTTTTTTTTTTATCTAAAACACACTGACACCAATTTAAAAAAAAAAAAAAATCCTGACCTTTGACCCAAACACTAAGCCTGGCAATGAACTAGATCAAACCTTGATCTATGTATTTTTTCTTTTATTTTTTAGTATTTGTCTTTTTTCTTAAGTTTTTTTTTTTTTTCACCTCTATGCAAGGAAAGAGATACAATGTATCTCTCTCCTCCATTCATAGAAATAAAAAAACAAGGGGGGCTCTACAGTGATTGATCACTGTGATAGCAAATTAGAGGCTATCACTGCGATCACATGACCCGGAATCGGGTCCCGATAGTTAGAACATGACCCGGGGCTCTCGGTGACACCCCGGTCTTTGTGCTGGGAGTGCACTGTGCGGCAAGCTGCTGCTTGATCTGCAGTTGCCAAGGTGCTGCACATGTCATCAGTTATAAAACCAGCTATTTGATGGCTTGACAGTTTGGTTGAGAAGACAAGCAACTGTGACAGTTATCATTCATGACATGCTTTGAATGTAAATGTTTTTGGAAAACGTTAAATTGATGGGTTTAGTTACACTTTAAAGCCTAACTCTAGGTTTTCTTTAGCTTTAAAGTGGTACTAAACTCTCTCTGAGCACCAAAAACCGAAAACGCTATTTAATTAATTTCTATATATTCAAAACTAATTCACCCATCCATGTCTTTATACTTTATTTTGTTGAGAAATCACTCTGAAAAACACACCCACAGCATTTCTAGCCACAGCCATCCTGGGTAAGGGCAGATGATCCACATAGCATTTACTTCCTGGAATCCATCTACCATTAGCTCAGGCATGCAGGCAGGAGGGCATACTTGACTGAAAAAGTGCATCCTCCTGATAAAAGAAAAAAAAAAAAATGCTGAAGACGACTCATATCATGTATGACATCATATTGGCCTAGGCCAGAAACCAGGAAGTAACTGAATACATATAAAAAAATAATAAATAAAAAATGTTATATCAAGAATATGATTGAAAGTTTAGTTCTGCTTTAAATAGTTCATTTGGAACTAAAACTCTCTCCATCAACATTGGCTATTTTTAATCCTCATGTTGCTAGCATTAGTCAATAGATAGCAAGGTATTTTAGAATTACTTGTTTGAAACTTTTTTTTTACATTACTTCAGTTGCTTCCTGGTTACTAGCCTTTGCCAAAATGATGTCAAACCTCCCAGCATTTTCATTCATCTGGTGGAAGGGAGGTGGGATTTTCTCAGCTAAGCACACCCTCCTGCCTGCATGCCTGACCTAAGGGCAGATGGATTCAAATACATAAATGCCACATGAATCATCTGCCTAAGATAGACGTTGCTGGAAATAGTAGGGGGTGTTTTTCAAAGTAATTTCTCAACAAAATAAAGCATGGAGACATGCTGTATGGGGAAGTTTGCCTTGCATATTAAAAATGAATTAAACAGCGTGTTCAGTTGATGGCGCTCAATTACAGTTTAGATCCTCTTTAAGATTACACCAAAACCCACTATTTGAATGGAATCCAGCTGTATTAAGGTTTCATTACAATATGTAAAATCTTCTCAAATAACATTCACAGTACATTTAAGATTTGTTTTCCATCCTGCTATTCTTCCATCCTGAATTTTTGTGAATGTGGGTGGTGGTTGTCCTCCAGAGGACTGATGGGTCAAGCCATGGAAGGCAAATTAAGCCCCATAGGATAGTTTGGAGTATCTACAAGAAAAAGGCAATAAGAAGGGACAGGGGAGGCTCTATAGTGATATATATGATGTTGAAGTGTTAAGCAGCCCATAGATTATTCAGTTTTCCTTCCTTCCACCACAGGTAGAATGAAATAAAATTGCTTGATTCTACCATTAACACAGTCCTTGTTGATGGAGGAATGCCTCCCTCAGTGCAATTGTGTTTGCCAATGGGGAGTGCATTGAGCCTTCTCGGCTGGCAGAAAACAATGATTACTGATAGCAGCTATAGCCACTGGTGATTGTATGGAAAATATTCAACAGACTGGTTGTACCCAAGTGAACTGATGGATCAACCGATGTACAATCGACTTGCCCACACGTGACTCGAATCTCGGCTGGTTCCTGCTGAACCGGCCGAATTTCTATCAATGTATGGCTGGTTCAAAAGTTTAGTTCAAAAGGCCTCTAAGTCCCACATAATGATATAAACATACAGAAGGCTGTAAGGAGTCACCAGTTTGTAATAAATTGTCACAC